AATTGGAGGTAGCCACCTACCCATCCACCCACTATTTTAAGATGACGAGCGTCCTGTTCTATTTTCACATTAGTCAGTCTTTTTAATTCAAATGAAAATTACCAAAAAAAATTAATCCCAACTTAAAAGCTTGACTGGCAAAGGTTCATAATTACTCTGACATATTAGAAAATGGCATGAGAGTGGTTGCTAAGGGACTAGGAAGGTGAAGAAATGAGAGTGGCTTCTCTGACTCTAGAGCATCTACCCAGATCTCAGAGAAAGAACTCATGCTGCTAACACAACATTCCTGGCTAATGTTGCCCTTCGGGTCATTTCTACTGCTTTTCTTCAAAGTGCGAGCATTTGAGCAGCAGTAGCAGAAGCATCTGGGGACTTGTCAGACATACAGGTCCTTGGGTTGCTCACCTGACTTCCGAATGAGAAATCTGAGAGTGGTCCTAAAATGTTATCAAGTGACCGTAATACATGCTTAGGTGGGAACAGAATCACCTGAGAGAGTTGGTTCACATACTAGTACTCCAGTCCTATCCCCAAACCACCAGCCTGGGCTTCTGGAACTGTCTTTCTGGGTGACAGCCACTGATCCTAATGTCTAAGAGAACCTAGCCAGAGGCGCATTGCAGTAGTTTTCTTAGTTGTTACAAAAGATGTAGATGGAAGCCAGAAAGCAACGAAAATCTCTACAACGTGACACTTCAAGACTGCAGCTTGAAAAATATTGGTTGTACAGTGTGTCTGTTTGTCTGCTGGTGTACCCGTGTTGTATGTTATTAGTAAGTGCACACACACACACACATGTATGTGTGTGCACCACCAGAGCAGGACCTCGGGTGCTTTCTTCCATCATTCTCTGCCATAGGAATCTCAGCTTCTCAGATGGACTAGTTGGTCAAAGCCCTCTTCAGACCCACCTGTCTCCACCCCAATAATGAGGTTACATGTACAGCTATGCCCAGCTTATGGCTGCTGGGAATTCAAACTCTGGTCCTAATGCTTGCAAAGGAAGTGTTCTTATACATTGAGTCATTTCCCCCACTCCCAACCCCTTGGTTGTACTTTAAAATCAGTACTTGGAGATTGGAGGTGTGGCTTAGGAGTAGAGCACTTGTCAGTCATGTGGAAAGCTCTTTGTTCCACCCCAGGAAGGAACCAAGGACATGAAAGAATGAGAGATTTAGCACTTAAAATACATACAAACGTTAAAACAAGATCAAAAGAATGGCAGGTGGAAATAATACAAATTTTAATGGCTTTCAATTGGGTAGATATACAGATTATTAATCTTAATAAAATGATTTCCATGAACAGTATCAAAATACCTCCTCATCCAGAGAGGTTTCTGACAAAAGCAAGGAGCCACTGATAATCACCCATAGATACTTGAGCAATACACAGACAGCTATGGGCAGGGTTTTCATTTTCCTCATGTTTGTTGTTTATTCTGAGATATATTTTCACTGAAAATGGATCAAACTTTGACTCCAAAGCTCTGAAAACAAACAAATATATGAAACACCTATGTTTGGAGCTTAGTAGGTAAAAGCAATGCTCTACAAGCATGAAGCACTGAGTTCAAATCCACGTGAACCCAGCAACAAAGTTAGACATCATAACACCTTCCTGTAACCCCAACACTGGAGGAGGCAGAAGCAGCTACATGCCGAGGGCTCACTGGCAAACAGCCTAGCTCAAGCAGTGAGCTTATGGTTCAGTAAGCGATCCTGTCTCAAGGCAATGATGTCAGGAGCAATGGAGGAAGACACCCTACATCCTGCTTCATGGACACGCATGAGCACACACACCACAGAGTAAATAAATAAATAATGTGAACACCTATGCGTCCTGTATACCAGGTCCCCATTTGAACTTCGACACCTTATATCATTGAATTTTTATCACAAAAATGAGAGAGGAGCCACCACCACCCTTAATGAATCAAACCTTAGGAACTCAAAGAATTTAACTTTCCATGAGAAGATACAACTGACTCTGGGCCCTGACTTTGGCTCTCCTCTAAGGTTCCTGGCTTTAATTGCCACTTCAGTAATACCCAAGGTGATCCTGTCTCCCTTATGTTCTGACACTCTCATTCCAGAACTTTCCACTTGTTCCAAAGCACTTTCCATTGTTTCCCTTCCCCACAACTAAGACAAAATCTTAAAGCATGCCATTAAGCAAGAAAGTACAGGAGTTATAAATGGGAAATAAACACACAGAATCTAACACATCAGCCCGAAGAAATGAGTATGTGTCTCTAGAGGCTTCCTGAGACTAGATTCCTGAGTTTGCTAGTTACATGAGTTGTTAGTCAACTCCCTGGGCTTTACTGTCTTCCTCTGCAAAGTGGTGATAAAAATTTCCATGTGGCATTCTCACTCATCAGTGTGGCTCATTCACATAAACACTTAGGATCCCACATACCAAGCTAATGTGCTCCTAGAGTTCACAAATTCTCTGTTCTTTTGCCCATTATCATAAATTTATAATAAAATCCAATGCAGTTCAGCCAAAAGCAACCTTATATCATGGGGACAACTCACCCCATTTCTTACAGAAGGTAAAGATGAACCTGGTTCACAAGCCTAGTTATCTAAATCAACTGCGGTTTAGAGATGTGACTTTTTCTTCCTCCTCCTTGTCCTTCTCCTCTTCCTCTTCCTCCTCTTCCTCCTCCTCCTGTTCCTCTTGCTCTTCCTCCTTCTCCTCCCCATCCTTCTCCTCCTTTTTTATTTTTTTTATTCTTCTTTAGGCAGGGACTTACTATGTTGTGGTTGAAGGCCTGGAACTTGCTGCCTTGCCATGTAGATCAGGCCAGCCGCAAATCCACAGAGATTCACTTGTCTCTGCCTCCTATGAGCTGGAATTAAAGGCTTATATGCTGCTGGTAGAACATGCCTATGATCCCAGAACTTAGGAGACAGAGGCAGGCAGAACTCTGTGAGTTTCAGGATAGCCTGTCTATATAGTGAGACCCTGTCTCAAAGAGAGGGGAGGGGGAGAAAGAAAGAAAGGGATAGAGGAAGGGAGGAAAGGGAAAAAAACAATACATGACATGCCTCACCTGTACCTTTCCTTTAAAAGATCAAATACATAAATTTAATAACTTTGTTTTTGCTTAAGTGATCTAAACTCAAAACACAATTTAAAATGCTCATGTTCTTCATAAAATAAAAATGAAAGGCTTGGCAAAACTATTCTTAAGCAATTAAAAATTAAAGTGAAAAGTACTTTCCAGGTGTTCTCATGGACTTTAGAATAGAAATTGCAATACACAAAATCCTAGAAATTGCTTTGTGCAAATTAATTACAACATCCAAAATATTATTCCACATCATCAAAAGTATAAGAAAAACTACATACTTTCTAGTAATGGATACATATGTTTATAATCCAGCTAATACCACCAAAAGCTAGTACTGAAGCTTTCCACAAAGGCAGCCCAAACTTCATCTTATGCAATTAAGGCACAAACCAAGGCACATTGTATAAAAGCTAAATGTATGTTCACATGTTAGAAAAATACTCTAAATACCTTAATAGGACTTCACTTTTATACAATACTTATGCTTTTCTGATCATTTTACCTCTAATACTTCCTTTGAGTTTTAAGATATAGGAGGCAACACAAACCGATCTGTACTCATTTTAAAATAATATTCTATAAGCTTAAGAAATAAGTACCTGTTCTAGGATGCTGATTTTAGCAGAATACAAGTGTCCTTCTCGATTCCTATTCTCGTGTTCTTTCCAGGGGGTGCATGAATACATATCCTCTAGATGAAGGAAAATGTCCATAAAAACACATTTTACAGTGAAAAATTCTCCGTTGGGACAACGTGTATGTAGCCTCTTTCCATGAAAAAGTTGATTGAAAAAGATAAAAGCTAACATGGACATTGACAATATTTTATAAGAAAATGCTTAGGAGCATAATCGTGGATGTATCCTTAGCTCTCAGTGGGTTGAAATGTAAGCCAACACTCCTCTCCACTAACCATAATCTCGTGTGAACAGAATCTATATTGCACCTAACCTACTGAATCCTTGAAAACGTAACAAGCAACCCCAATGAGTATCCAAAACCAAAGGGCAGGCAGATGTGTCTATCAACCCTTTGTGAGTTATGGGTTTTACTGACCAACTAAGGAATTTATTTTCAGTTACACACACGCACACACACACACACACACACACACACAAACACACACACACACACACACACACGACCTGATCTAATTCAATGGGTCCTATGACTATCTCAAACTAAAACTGTCAAAGTAGATTCCCCTCTTTTCTCCACCGACAAGGTGGAAAGATTTAGTGCCTGTATAATGCCCAGTATTTGCATCGCATTCTACCATTTACAAAGTTCTGCTTGTATTGTATTCCAGCACATTAGTGAAATGAGTACTGCTGTCATTTCCATATCACACATGAATAAACTCGCTTGAGAGAGTATGTGACTCAAAATCACAAGAAAAGCCAGAGGCAGAAGCTTAGATTCACATCCTAGTTCAGATTTCGTGTCAGCTTTTCACTCCTAGCACTCTGCCTATCTAAGAAAAGCCCTTCCCCACTCACACACACTGGTATCCTTCACCAGTGAAACTTGGTCTTAGGTCAGACTTGCAGGAATTTCCTTACCACTGCCTGATTCCCCTAGAAGCAGACAGGAAGAAATGCTTAATTCTTCTTTTGTCCTGTCTTTCTGTGACAAGAAAGTCCCCCCCCATGATGCTGGTTCAGGCGGAAAAACTAGGAAAATGGGTCTTTAGGGTGTAGCTGTCGTCCCCTCTGCACTTAAACCCCTATGAAAGAATGGCAGTCCTGAAATAAGCCTTACTGAACCAGAAATGAAACTTGACTAGGAAAAGAAGCCATGGGCAAGACGACAAGAAAAGTGAAATAATGTTGGAAGACTGATTCTCCTTGTCTCCAAAGGCAAGAAGCCGCGCGCTCCCAGTAATCTCCAGGCAGGAGCTACTCAAAAAACTCACCCTCTGGACCATAGCTAGGGGAGGGTTGGGACATAGTCGGCAATCGCTTCAGCACCGGAGACAGCTCCGCGCTCTCCAACTTCTGGAGCTCTTGCTGCCTGTGCCCGGCCGGCGGCGGTTCCCAGGCTGGTGAAGGTCTGGAGGAGCCTTGGCGCCTCTGGGTTCTAGAGTCTTTGCGAGGGGCAGGAGTAGCCAGCGGCACTTCGGGCTGCGGTGGCGACAATCCCGGCTGCACGACGGTGTTGCGGGACCGCGCCAGAGCGGAGGAGACAGAACCCATCCCAGCGGGCCAAGACGAGATCCTCCGGGATCCGCACCCCTTGGCTGCCGAAGGCTGGCTGCCTTCCAACCCCGGGCCGCCCCTGGCGGACTGCGCCTCCTCTGACAGCCACAAGAAGGCAGCTGAGAAGGGTGCAGGGAGGGCTAACCGCTCCCACTTGAGGTGGACTGAGAGTAATCTGGTTGGTGTCTGCCTTTCTGACAGTCCAGAATGAATAGGAACACACTGGGGATGGAAGTACGTTGATACAGAAGATGCCCTGAAGCATTGCTGGAGAAAAGGGCGTGGCAATGAGGGGTTACTTTTTCCTCCACCCTAGACTTGGTTCACTTGGGGCCAAAGGTATGGCGCATCCTTCCTTCCCAGCACAGTCCCCAGAGAGGATGGAACCTTTAACGAAGGCAGAGGAGAAGCTAGCATTGTTTTCCTGTCACTTTCCCCCTCCTCCTTATCCTTGATAGTTTCATGAAGGTATATAATGAAATAGGATCACATCAACCTTACATTATTCTCCCCTAAGTCTCACATACACACTTTGTGTTCCCAATTTCATGTCTTTCCTTTAATAACCCACTAAGTTCAGTTAGTGCTGTCCACATGTGCATGAGTGTGGGGCTGACCACTAGAGCATGGGATTCTCCCAATGACCTCTTAAAGCTAATGTCCTTTCTCTAGGCTTTGATTCATTGATGAAACCCTGTTCAGTGCTGTCCCTGAGGCTAGCTTGTCACCACCCTCCCTCACGTGTTTTCTCAGTGCCCCTCAAGCCGGACATTGCCACTTTTGTGCCTGCCAAGACTGCCTACCATTCTTTTTGGAGGTTGAGCCCAGGAAGGGGAGTGAACGTAGAGAAAAGGTCATCTCAGCTACTTCTGTTCTTGAGAGCCAGCAGGGAGGCAGCAGCCCTGAGAACTCCCAAGGCATTAGACCAGAGCAGCCTGGGTGTTGCTGATAGCTTGCTTTGCTGGCTGAGGTGAAGCCACTGGTTCCATGCTGCTCTGCCTACAGTGAGGAGATAGTGATGCCTGATGTGGGACTCGGGAGTAGAAAGGGGGACCTGGGATGATATGCTAGCTAAAATATGTTTCCCAAAGGAGAACTACCCAAGGTCACACAACCAACTAGTGATGAAAGTGCACTGTATGGGACTCCTTTTGCTAGATGAAGTTTTCTATCCAGCACTGGACTGTGAAGTAAGACAACTACTTGTGCAACACACAACATATTTGAGGTCACATTGTGTAAAACAAGACAGACCTCCTCTCTGAAGACAGAGAGGAGAACTCTTTATGACACCATGCTATGGCTCTTGGCAATGCTCACCAATAAATGTAAAACAATATCATCACAAAGATGGAGTCCAGAAACAAGCAGATCGATAAATGGGAGAAGAAATGGGTTTTAGAATCTTCAGCTGGCATTCAGAGGCAAATCAGAGGATCAGCCAGGATGGGACAGCTATGGGACACATGGGCTTCTCTCTTTAGCTTTGTTTTCCATAGGTGGTAAACAGCCAAAATCATCATGCTTGAGCCAACATTACTCGAAGACTCTCCAAATAATTGGGGCACAGCATCCATAACCCCCACCCTTTATCTTGCAGGAGCTCAGGCAGTGTCTTATTCAGTCAACCTCAGGAACCTGCCCTCTTGAGGCAAGCCAAAGGAATGCTACAGATTCTAACTATGAGAGGGAGAGAGAGAGAGAGAGAGAGAGAGAGAGAGAGAGATAGGCAGAGGAATTGAAATGAACATAGAAAATTGGCTCAGATAAAAGTGATTATGCAGGGTAAAATGTCTCATGGACTGTAGTTAGCAAATTGAAGATCAGGAAGAGGTCACATATTGTTCCAGTCCAGTTCCAAGGTCTAAGAAGCGGCAGAGCTGATGGAACCAACTCTTTCACAACCATGCTTGATTTCTCTGAGAGCCTGGAGCTAAGTAAACAATGTACACACCCAGCATACTTTTTGTAGGAGAAAATATACATGGTTGACTGAGGGGGGGGATATGTGCACCACTAAGGCGAGCTTGCTCCTTTTGAACTGCATTCTTTTATCCCGGTGTCCATCCCCTGCTACCATTACCATTGCCCTTGATGCTTTTGAGGATTTCCATGAGTTAGAAACACCCCAAGTATTTTCCACAATTAGAAAGAGATCATAATCCAACATGAGGCCTCCAGTTGCCATACAAGGCTCACACTTTCAGGCAACCCTGGCCATTTCATTAGAGCTTAGGTGATTCCCACTCCAGAGCATCTCAGAAGTGTAGTGGGTGCTACCTATACGTCCCAGTCTTTCGCTCCTTTTAACACTCTGATAAACTGTTGGTCAGCCTTTAAAGACTTCCAAGACTCAGAATTTGGAAGCACAAAATTTGGTTACTATCAATATTTTTTCCTACTAATTCTTTCTCAACACAAATATTGCACCTTTACTTTGAACAACTCAGAAAGGACCATTTGTCTCCTTACTATGTACTGTGGTTTGAGTAAGAGATGTCACCCACAGTCTTTGGCATTCAAACACTTGATCCCCGGCTAATAGTGCTGATTGTGGAAGTTTAGGTGGTACAGCCTTGCTAGAGAAAGTATGTCACTCATGGCAGACTTTGAGATGAAAAACCCTCACCCACTTGCAGTTTGTTCTCTCTACTTAGTACTTGCAGTTCAAACTGTGAGCTCTCAGCATCTACTTACTGTTGCTATGTTTGCTACTGGTTATCAAGTTTCTCCATCACAATGGGCATTATCCCTCTGGAAAAGTAATCCATAATAATCTCCATCTTCTTTAATTTTCTTTGGTCATGGTATTTTATCACAACTACAGAAAAGTACCTAATACAGAAGATGGTAACAGAATGGGCTGTTGCTGTGTTTGGGACTTTGGACTAGAAATGAAGTCAAATGCTGTAAACAGAATTTTAAGGACCATTCTAGTGGCAGCTTAGAAGGTAGTACTTTTGAAGACAGTGTAGGCTTTGGAGGACTGTCTCAGGAGGTCACAGAGGAGAATAATATTAGCAACTGGGCTGAGGACATGCCTAATATTTTGGCACATTCTGGCTATTGTCCTTCACCTCTTCCCTTGCCCTAAAAATTTACTTGATGCTAAATTAGAAAGCAATGGATTAATTTCTTTGATAGAGGCAATTTCAAGACAGCCTAATTCTGACTCTTTGGTGCAATTGTTATTAATGACTGTTATGTAGGTCTACAAATTAAAAGGAGAAGGGGGCAGAAAAAAATACAAAGTGCACAGTTTGAGCCAGGTGAGGTGGCTCACTCCCAGCACTCAGGGAGGCAGAGGCAGGTGGATGTACGTGAGTTCAAAGCCAGCCAAGGCTGCACAGAAAAACCCTGTCTTTAAATATATATATATATTTATACACACACACACACATACAGTTCATAGAGAAAAGGCACCAGGAAACTTCATGTTATAGCCAACACTTGTGCTGAAAAAGATAGGATTAGCAGCAATAAGTCCTGACCTCCTGCCCAGTACTGTAATCAAGAAAGGTGGCCACAGGACAAGACTCCACCCACCCAAATCTCAAAGGTCCCATCCAACTAAGCCTCCAGCTTATGAAAGGGAAAAGCCCACTGGGTGCCCCTCTCCTGGAAAACAACTGCAAACAAAGGCTGCTGCTCATGAGGTTGAAAGGGGCAGCGTCCATCCCTAGCTGGCAGCCAAACGTGGCAGTAGCATCCATATGATATTGAATTTAAAGACATAAATGATTTAAGAGTGAACTGGTCATCGATCCTTCCTCTGAGTCTTCAGAGAGCTACAGAGGCAAACAAAATGCGGCAGGGGATCCTTGAACAAAGGCCCTGAGAGGTAAAGAGGCAATAGGAAGCCACTACATGAAGCTATGAAAAGTGAAGTGTGGCTTGCAGTGGAGACCCCAAGATATTGGAAATATTAGAGCTGCGGGACAACTCCCAAGGAAAGCTACATACAGGGAGTGGAACCAGCCAAAGGAAAAGATGTATGCTGCAGGCAGCAAAGCTTGAGGGGCAGAGCCACTTATGCCTTTTTAATACTAAAGCTGCAGGCACCAAATATGGAGCTATTAGAGTTGGCATTTACTTTCTAGGTCTTAGTCTTGCTCCGATCTCAAATTTCCTGACTACGCTCCTATTCTCCCTTTTGAAAGATAATGTATAATCAGTACCTGAGAATCATAAGAAAAAGACCAATTCCACAATTTTTGAGCCAAATTTGAAGCAAAAAACTTTTAATTAAATACTAGCCAGGAGGATGGGCTCTATCCAGGACCATTTTGGGGTTCCCAGGAAATGGCAACAAGTCACATTTCACGGAGGTTTAAAAATACATAATGAAATCTATACACCTAAAAAAGATAATCAAGAGAGCGGACATGGGATAAGATTATCAATCCTCACTTAGAAAGACAGATGGGATGTGCATTGAACATATGACAGGAGTCTACTGAGCACATCTGAAAGACTCTAACTAGCAGTGTTTTCAAAGCACATACAAAGACTCATGACCAAACCTTCGGCAGAGTACAGGGAATCATATGAAAGAAGGGGAGTTAGTATGATGGGGAAAGGATAGGAGCTCCACAAGGACCAAACATATCTGGGCACAGGGTCTTTTCAGAGACTGACATTCAACCAAGGACCATGTATCAATATAACCTAGAACCTCTGCTCAGATGTAGTCTGTGGTAGCTCAGTAACCAATTGGTTTCCCATAGTGAGGGGAACAAGGACTATTTCTAACAGGAACTCAATGACTGGCTCTTTGACGTCCCCAACCCCCAAGGGAGGAGCAGTCCTGTTAGGCCACAGAGGAGGGCTTTGCAGCCAGTCCTGAAGATACCTAATAAAACAGGATCGGATGAATGGGGAGGAGGTCTCCCCCATCAGTGGACTTGGAAAGGGGCACAGTGGAGATGAGGGAGGGAGGGTGGGATTGAGAGGGAATGAGGGATCGGGACACGGCTGGGATACAGAGTTAATAAAAT